CATGACTAATTAATTCTATGGAGACCTCTATTGGCTGTTCTTATCTGTTTCTTTTGTCTACAAGTGCCCTCTCGATTGTTGTTTATGATATATACGCGAACGTAGGTAATTTTTGCTAACTCTATGAAGTTTCTAATAAGATCCGTGAGGCTAAATAGGGATCGAAGATAGTGACCCAGTACTACAACAACTTGATTTCTTTATGTATGAAATGTAACATTTACTATCATTATACTTGGGAATCTCCCGCAAACCTTTCCCTCATTTAGAAAATTTTGGAAAAAGATCGTGTTCCAACTTCTGGCGGGCCTGAGCAAAGGCCTTTGATGAAGTCCGCGACCGTATACTTGGTAGTGACCCTCTTCCTTCAACTCGGGCAGTATTCACCGAGGTCCTTCGCGAATAATGCTGGAGACTTGTCATTCTCGGCAATTCAACTACCTCAAGCGAGCTGTTAGCCTTGTTCTGCAATAGTACTCCACACTCTACCACGCCGTTGCGAGCCAATCACTACACATGTGATTATTGCCACAAACCCTACAATACCGTGATAAGCGTTGTAAGCTCCACGGAAACCAATAAATAAGTCTTTAACCAAATCTTTCACTGCTAAAGGTACCGTTGTGACCTTGGAATCCACAATAGTTCAGCCTGTCCTTATTGGATCATTCTCGACTCACATGACTATTAAGAATCAGATGGAACATTTGATTAAGCTACTTGTGCCTACTCAGTTCTTCTCTGACCTGTCAACCTCTTATGTCTGTCAAGGTAACATCTCTATGACACTCGCAGGTATTGCTTCTTCTAGTCCATGGATTCTTGTTCAGGTGTTGCGGACCACATGATCGGGTATTCTCACTTTTTCTCGACATATTCTTCTTGCTCCCGGCGAGGTACTATTAAAATTACAGATGATTCCTGTAATTCCTTTGCGGGCACAGGGTTGATTGTACTAACAATTGGGCTAACGTTTGTATCCGTGTTACACTTTTCTTTGCTTAAGTGTAACCTCTTGCCGCTCAGTAAGTTAACATGTGACTTTGATTGACTTGCTCATTTTTCTCTTGATGTTTGCGCCTTTCAAGATTATCGTTCGGGGAGGATGATTGAAATTGCTAAACGGGTAGCCGGGCTATATTTTTTTTCAAGAAAATGACATTGATGACTTTGACACTAGACCTAGGCATTGGGCGGGCAGGGATTGGCGCGGGTCAGACTTATTTGAGCTTTGACCAATCAAAGTGGGCTTGAGACAGGCTTGAGCCTAGTTTCTATTTAGAATTTCATAGTCAGGCCCGCCTACTAAATGGGCCAAGTTAGCCTGCGAGCTTTCACTATAAAATAACAAAGTTTTGAGTGGTTTGCATGTAGATAACCAAAGTTTAGGCATAAGGCATTTGAATATATAAGAATATGATGGTATGCATGCAAATACACAAAGTTTGAGTAGTGTACATGTAAATAACTAAGAATCACGTTGCATGCATGTAAAAATTCAAAATAGACAGAGAGAGAGAGAAAGACGAGGTCCTACTTTGCCCGATTTGAGTGAAAAGAGCTTGTTGTTTGGTGAGAGAGGTTGCAAGAATATGTGAGAGAGAGAAGGAGATGGGGAGGTCGTTCGTGGTTTGGAGAGAGAGGAGAAAAAGAGTTGGGAGCTTGATAAGTTCACGATTGGGAGAGTTAATAGTTTGGGAGCTTGGGTTGAAGTGGAGAGCTTTCTTAGGGAACAAAGCTGCTCTTGGGTCTCACGTCTAAGAGAATGGTGGAGAGAGGAGAATGCTCTCGGGTTGAGACTTAAAGAGTTTGTGGAGAGAGGGTTCTTGGGTTAGTTTACATTGAAAAAGATGAGAGGTGAGGCCGGTCGGGTTCTGCATAGGCGTGCTGGGTTTGGTTGCTTCGGGCTTTAACTAAGTCAATACGAGATTGGATCATGCCAGACTCACCAAATTTCTATTTTTTTACAGCCAAGCACGCCCATGGCCCGTGGGCTTATGGCGAGCCTATCCAGTCACCCGTCCAATGCCCTATTCTAGCTGATACTTAATCTCGTAGTTTTTTTTTTCTTTCTACTATATGTCCAATTATGCCGTTGTATTATCGTTTGGGTCATCATAATTTTCACTATTTAAAACACTTATAGCCTTTGATGTTTATTGATAAAAATCTATTTTATTTTAGAAGTGAAATTTATTAATTAGCTAAACATGAACGTGTACTTATCCACCTCACCCTTGCACTCTTTTCTCTCATTTTTCGCTTATTTATAATAACTTATGGGGGCCCTCTTGAACTTCAAGCTATACCAATAAACATTGGTTCATTACTCAAATTGATGCCTAAGCTCGGATGACTTGGGTCTATAGATTAAAAGACAAATTTGAAGCTTGCAGTCACTTTTAAAAATTTTTATTTCTTCATTTTGACCCACTTCAAAACCACCATTCAAATCAGTCGGGCCAAAAATGCCCGCAAGTACTTTAACTCTATAGGGCATCCTTTATCATGGCTCCTGTACGGATACCCCTCAACAAGATGGGGTAGCGGAGCGAAAAAATAGACACATTCTCGAAGTTGCTCATTCCATTCTGTTTTAAACTAATGTTCCTAAACATTTTTTGAATAATGTCGTCCTTACCGCTGCTACCTCATTAATGGAGTTCTTGCAAAAATTCACATCTTTCGCACATCATTATCCATTTTAATTTTTTGTTTTCCTACCAATGAGTTCTTCACATTAGATCCCAAAATATTTGAGTGCATGACCTTTGTTTGAAACAGTATCCCGACTCATAATAAACTTGATCATCGCTCGATTAAATGTGTCTTCCTTGGCCATTCCGCCACTAAAAAAGATTATTTGTATTTTGATCATACCACAAATAAAATCTATGTTAGTGCCATCGTCTCCTTTTTTGAAAATATCCCCTTATTCTCTAAAGCTACCTCAATTGAGGGAGAGCTTGATTTTCTAGACATTGCTCATTTTCCTACACCGTTGGACATTCTACATAGTCCTATGTCCACCGTTTCTGATGACCTTTAGCTATGCAGAGGCGTCAAGAATATTCACCAGTTTATGGAGTTGACTATGAAGAGACACTTGCTCCGGTAGCTAAATATCATTCGGTTCTTGTTTTCCCTAGGCGTGAATCTGGATTGACTCTTACTTCAGTTGGACGTTAATAATGTTTTTCTTAATGACAATCTTGCTGAGGATATGTGTATGTCTCTCACCAGGTTTTGACTGTAATTCTTTCCGTGGACAAGTGTGTCGATTGTGGAAGTCTATTTATGGGTTGATGCAATCCTTACGGGTCTGGTTTAGCAAGCTTACGCAACTTGTAGCGAGCCATGGTTTCTCTCATGTCCAATCTGATCACACACTATTTTTTTGTCGTTCATCTGGTGACCGCATTGCCATTCTAATTATCTATGTCGATGACATTGTGCTTACAGGCAACGATCTACCGGCTTTGGAGTCTCTCAAAGTTATCCTTGTCATGTCTTTTCAGATGAAAGACTTGGGTTCTCTCCGGTATGTCTTAGGCATGAAAGTAGCTCAGTTCTCTCGGGTCATTAGCCTTTCCCAAAATAAATATGTGATAGATTTACTGACTGAAACTATTCTACTTCTTTGCAAATCAGTAGCTGTCTCGATGTAACTCAATGCGAAATTGGTGGAAGTTCTCAGATTCATTCAGGTGAACGAAACACGCTTCGAACACCTCATAGGTAAAGCTCATTTATCTCACTCATATGTGCTTGAACATTTGTCATGCAGTTGGTATTATAAATCAGTTTATGCATGACCTTTATGAACATTATCTCACAGCTGTCCATTGGATCTTCCACTACTTAAAAGGCACACAAGACTCGGGTTTGTTATTCTCTTGTCACATCTTTTCTTCTGTTGCAGTTTATACCGAAGTTGATTGGGTCGGGTCTTTCTATGATCGATGATTTTCCTCGAGTTATTGCTACTTCGTGTGGGGAAACCTCGTTACTTGGAAAAAAAAACAGTTTGTGGTTGTCTGTAGTAGTGTTGAAGCTGAGTTTCGCTCCATGTTCTTATGGGTGTGTGAAGCTCTATGATTGCGCAACATGCTCTGCAAGTTATGTATGTGGATTACCGTTCTTCTGCAGCTGTTTATGTGACAATAAAGCTCCCATTAGCATTCCTCATAATCTGGTCTAATATGATTGTACCGAGCATGTGGAGATTGACCACCACTTTTTCAAGAAAAAACTCGACTCTGGGGAGATTTATGTTCCATTTGTCCCCTCCTCCAACCAACTTGCCGATATTCATACAAAGAATTTTTCTCGGCTATTGTTAGACGATTTCAAATTCTAAGTTGAATATAATTAACATCTATGCTTCAACTTGAGGGAGAGTATTACAAGTTATTAGTGTTAATTTATTTCCATTTTGGTTATTTCCTATTTTATATATTTTCTATTTTATGTCTTTCCTTTTATTTCTATGTGAACTTTAGGAATTGATTAATTGTAATCTTGGAGATATGGGTGTCGTCTTTCTTATTTTAGAATTCATGTAACCTGTAGTTACACCATTTTTCATATCAATAAAATTATCTTGATGTATTCTCAAAACCTACAACTCTATTTGCTATTTTTTTTGCTTGATTAGTTATTTTACTTTATTTAGCTGAGTGCACAGTAGAAATCTATTTTCTGAAATATTTTTATACATGCAGGATTTTCCTTAAATTTGTTTTATATTGCTGTTAAGAGTATTTATATAATTTCACATATTTTATCGTTGATTTGCCGTTGAACAGGTAGTAACTTAGCGGGTTGACGGCACTTGTGATGATTATACAATTTTTTCTTTCTTTTCCAATCAGTTTTTTTTGCTTCTGATCGTTGTATAAATTTGAGATAATTTTTTTTTCAAATTAATGACTTTTACAATTTATTGTCTCGCTTTCATTAATTAGATTCTACCTTCCTTCTTTTGTTCTTTTCTGCAGTATCAACCCAATGATCCTGTCACACTCTGGGTAAACAAGGTTGGCCCGTATAATAACCCTCAAGAAACATACAACTATTATAGCCTTCCATTTTGCCAGCCTGGAGAGAAACCTTCACATAAGTGGGGTGGTCTTGGCGAGGTTTTGGGTGGAAATGAGCTTATTGACAGCCAGATTGAGTTAAAATACCAGAGTAATGACGTTTTTCCTTTCGCATACGTTTTTGCCATCAATTTTACATATTTGCCAATCTTTGTGGTTGCTATGAATTAATTTTTAATCATACTATAGGGTCGATTATTATGCATCATCATCGTTGGTCCTTATCCCAACTATTTGGTTATTGATTTTCATGTATAGGCAGATCAAAATAATTCTGACTTGTCTTTTCAGAAAACGTTGAAAAAAGTTTTATCTGTTCTATTGAACTTGATGAAGCCAAGGTGAAGCAATTTTCTGATGCAATAGATGCTTCATACTGGTTTGAATTTTTCATAGGTATGCTGTCAGTTATGTTCTTATTCATTTGTTTGCATATTGATTATTGTTCACGAATTAATAACACTTTACATTGCTCCTCTTTCTGTGGCATGGTGACTCAGATGATTTACCACTGTGGGGTATGTATTATAATAGTCATTTTTTTACTTAAATTATCATTTCAATTCATTCTCATTCCAATTAATTGCGTGATATAATCAGCCTTTGTTGGAGAGACTGGCAAAACGGATGAGAGCAAACATTATCTCTTCACTCATAAAAATATCATTGTGAGATACAATAAAGACCAGGCACGGATTTTCTGTACTTGGTTGTTTTACCTTTATGTTTCACATTTCTTTTTTGGAAATTTACATACAGACCTCACAACTCTTATTTCTTTTGGAAATTTACATACAGACCTCACAACTCTTATGTCTTTACATATCTAACACCCAAAGTTTGATATTTTATAACACTTTTGTGTCATAAACTTATGCATGAAAAGGTGTATTTCTCTTTTGAAAAAGATAGTGATAGTGGTGCTTTTTATGTGATGTTAAAGATTTAAGTGATATGTTTAGGTGTTAGATATGTAAATACATAAGAATTGTGTGGTATATATGTAAATGCCCCTTGATTTTCTTATGGATGATTACCGCCTAAGACGGGATCCATTAGTCCAACTTTTGAAGTCGTAATGAAGCTTTCCTATAACAATATCCTATTCTCTTTCAGATTATTCATGTCAATATCACCCAAGAAAACCCTAAGTTGTTGGAACCTGGAAAGAAATTAGACATGACATTTTCAGTCACTTGGACAACAACAAATATAACATTTGCTCGTCGTTTTGATGTGTACTTGGACTATCCTTTCTTTGAGCACCAGGTAAGTGCAACTAAGTTGTATTTTCTTCTATTTGTTGTTTTTTGAATTTTTTGTTCCTCGTTTCTGGGCAAATTAATGCCATATTTCTTCAACTATTTGTCTAGAGTTTTCTGATGGAGATCCAAGGTGAGATGTACAAAATCATGCATATTAGATCAAATTTACAATTCATAAATTATTGACTTAAGGAAAATTTTCTTCTCTTTAGATAAAATTTCAATACAAGTGCAATTTTTCTCAAACAATAACTAAAAAATTGCTCAAATAGAAATTATACAAAAGAATCTATACCAGTTAAAGCCTCATGGACGGCTAAATTCACATTATAATAAAAATACTGATTGTAATTGATTGTCCTAATCTAATAACAGACACAGACCAATCACCAATTATCTGGATGAAAATTAACACGAAGTACCGAATAGATGATTCGGGTGTCTCATGAGATTAATTGAAGAAGGCTTCTAATTGGCATTTAGAAGTTTGATTGAAATAAAAATTTCAAGAACTCACATCTAATTGGCATTTAGAAGTTTGAATGGAATATAAAACTTTCTTATGCTATAGACTAATTTTTGTGTGCCGGGACATCCTGTTTGTAATGACAACAAAAATCCAAAACTGGCAGCCTCACAAAAAACTAATGGAATTATCTAAAACAGCAAAAATCGCAAGTCTCAGCTTCCAACTATACTACCAATCGATAGTGTAATGGATGTCACAAGTTCGTGAACAACAGCAACCACGCAATACTGCCAATATTGAATCTAGCAAGGTTGTCAATGCACGTTTGTCTTTGCACTTAAAGTTCAGCCCAGCAGGAAATGAATCTGCCAATATTGATCCACCAAAGAATTCTTCTATTTATAGCTAATTTAAGGCAAAAACATCAAAGCCCAGAGAACAAATAACCAAGGGCTGAAATAACTTGAATTAATGGATGCAACCAAAAAAAACCTGATTAAATCAGTTGAAAATTTTAGAAAATGCAACCTGTTTTTATATGGATCTTCTTCATCGACATGTTCCCAAAAATACATAAAAAAAATATACGTTATAGAACTATCAAAGTACATAAATTAAAATAAAATCGAATTTCGAATGTTTATTTGCATGTTTCAATACAGCATTATTAATTTCTAACGAACATAAACTTTGACATTTGCATCAAGTTTGCCCTACTTGAAAAAATTAAGCTGACAAATTACTGCATAAATGCTATGCTTCCTATGAGACAATTGATGAATATTCACAGGCTGGCATGTTACATCAATATATGATATCTTTGATATCCGCCATCAATAATGACCACAATCTCAACATTTAAGATAGGTTTTGGAAGAAGATGTGTAGAAATTTCTGGGAAAATGTTGAATATAAGATTCATGGAGAGAGAATAATTCAAGGCATATGTTGCAGTCTCATGAAATAAAACTAACTCAGATATGTTGAAAATTGAATAATAGTAGAACTTCATGAAAATTTCACTCTATGAACATTTATCTAAATTATTTCATGGTTTTATATGCCCTTGCTTTCTAGCATTTGATTTCTTACATTTGATTTCTTAGAGATTTTTGCTGGAATGCTTTTAAGATTCAAACATATCATTATTATATCAACCTGACTAAATTCCATATATTTAGTGTTCATATCAACAACGATTTTTTAAATGCCATAATTAATGTTCATTGTTTTTTATTATCTTCATGTGAAATAGGGCTGAATAAGTTAAGATTATGTTATACCATGAGATTGTTTATACAATGAGATTGTTGTCTTGAATCTTAGAGTTAGGATTTGGGAGAGATTGTCTTCCTCTCGAATTGTAGGTGTTAGGGTTTGGGTTTGGGAGAGATTTCCTATCTCTCGAATTGTAGGTGTTTATTCTTTATGTATTTATGTTGAATTGTTGTGTGCTAGTGGAGTAAAATATATATTTTTGCCCTAATTTATAAGAAAGTTTATCTGATTCCTATCAAATTGATATCAGAGTTTTTGATCTTTGGAAGCAATCTCGGTGGTGTACTGGGGTCTAAGTCGCGCCTTTGTGAAGAACCTACACAATATAGTCCCCGCTCGATTTGACCTTGCGGAGCAAACGACATGATCACTCGATTCCACCTGATGGGGGGATTCGCGGCGTATAGTGGTTGAGCCGTGCGATACAATCATGATTTGAGCCACCGGGAAGCCAACGAGCGTACAAAGCCCTGCCTTCATGATCAAAAATCTTTTTGAGAGAAATGGTGGCCAAAAGTTAGGTGATTTTGAGAAGAAATTAGGGGGCAGAGGTGAGCCAAATTAGATTGAGAATGGAGTGATTCTCGTCAATGAAGGGGAGATTCACAATACTGGAAGAAATGATTAAGAAGATCACAAAATTTCACACAAATATGTTGCCGCTTGTGAAGTTAGATCGAGTGACAGCTTAGGAGCAGACTCAAGCAACAATATTTGGAAGGAATAACACGACATATGGACGATTGTTACGAGTGTTAGCAGGAGGAAGGGGATGACGTGCGATTTGGAATTGGAGAAAATAAATTGAAGGAATTCTGCTTGGATCAGAGAATAACAGTATGTGGGAAACCGACCGAGGGCTGCATCCAACCGCGCCAGTGTCTTTTCACTGCTGCAACCTTTCGAGCAAAAGACGATTCAGGAACCTTGGAGACTGGCGGACTGAGTATGGGGCGAGCCAGACTTATGGAAGAAGGATAATCATTGTGGGTCGCAAAAGGGAGCCCAAACCCTGCTTCATGGGTGAAATGAACTTTGGTTTAGGAAATTGGGGAGGAGGCTTACGCATAAGAAAGTTTAAGATGTTGATCTTTGAAGGAGAGAATGCTTATAGTTGAGTTTATCGCGTGGAAATATACTTTCCTGTTAATGAGTTAACGAAGGAAGAAAAATTGATGGCGACGGTCCTATGTTTGGAAGGGAAGACTCTAGCATTGTTTCAATGGAGATAATTACGGCCAACCAAAACATGGGAAGAATTAAATGATTGTTCCTTCGGGCATTTCTGAACTATACGAGAAGGGAATTTACATGAACATTTTTTTGCATTGATCTATGAAGGAGCCATCATGGATTATAGGGATAAATTTGAGATGCTATCCGACGGTATGAGGAGTATCGAAAGAACTGTTGGAAGAAAGCTTCACAAAAAAGTTGAAGCCAGAGATTTGAGCAGCACTTTGGTTGTTGTGATTGAGAGGATTGGTGGAAACGATGGAATTACTGTAGTTGGTTGAACATAATGGTTCATTGGAATGGGCAAATAGGAGCACCATAGGTAGGCATCATACCGAACTATTACAACCATGACATTACCAAAAGCTTAAACAATCAAAGTCCACTGGGAGGCTCCACGAGACATGAATAATGGGCTACGATAGAGGATGATCGTTCAAACACTTTATAGAGACAGAAATTTAGGAAAAACAAGCCAAGTGATTATGTTTTCGGCAATGATAAATTTACCCCCAGGTCACCATTGCAAGGATAAAAAATTACAAGTTGTCAAGTGTGTGACGAAGAGTTAGGAAATGCAGAAACAAAGAAAGTTATGATATAGGAGGAGGAACACTCTCATTTAGATGTAGTAGAAGTTGCATTAAACTTAGTGGTGAGATTAACATCGAACCACATTATGAATCTTCGGGGACAGATCTCAGAGCAGAATATAGTTGTGTTGGTAAATAGTGGGGTCATTCACAACTTCATCTCCATTTAAGTAGTGAAGCAATTGGGGCTTGAGATGGTTGACATAGAAAGTTTTAGAGTCATGATGGGAACGAGAGGGGTGGAGAAGAGCATGCGGCTTTGTAAAGGGCTGATTTGGACACTGCATAGTATTCAGGTGATAGGAGAAATTTCTTCCTTTGGATTTAGGGAGCAGTGATGTGATATTGGGTATGAAATGGTTGCAATTCTTAGGGAAGACTAAGATGAATTAGAAACTCTTGACCATAGAGTTTTAGGAGGGAGATGAGATGGTGGTGCTTCACGGCGACCCGAGTTTATGCAAGACATTGGCTTCAGCGGATCAATCGAACGTGGCGGTTATGTTGGAGTGGACACTACCTAAGACTCGGAAAAGGTTGAGAAAGATTTCAGGACTCACAAGATACAACCCGAAGTTCGTGAAGTGTTGTAATTCAATTGTGTGGTTGTTGATGGAGAAACAAAAGAAGGATAAGTTTCAATGGAAGAAAATGAAAATCCAAATTTTTTAGAAGTTAAAGAAGACCATGATGAGTGTACGAGTGTTGGCTTTACCTGCTTTTAACCAACCTTTCATTGTGGAGACGGTTGTTTCTAGCTATTGATTAGGTACAATCCTCATGCAGTGTCGACGACTCATCATTTATTTCAATCAAGTGTTGATGGTGAGTGTCAAACTCAAGTCAGTTTATGAGTGAGAGCCACACAAGTTTATCCTGCTGCAGTTTTTTTTTTTTTCATCATGAGGACAATGTGTCTTTTTTGGAAAGGGAGTAATATTCGACTGAAAATTTAGTAGCAATTTAATGTTTAGTTATTTATTATTGTTTGGTATAAATATGACTTAATAGGTTAGGATTATGTTATGCCATGAGATTGTTGTCTTGAATCTTAGGGTTAGACTTTGGTAGAGATCGCCTACCTCTCAAATTGTAGGTGTTAGGTTTAGGGTTTGACAAAAGTCACCTATCTCTCAAATTGCAAGTGTTTATTCTTTATGTATTCCGGTTGTATTGTTTTGTGCTAGTGAAGTAAAATATGTTGTTTGCCCTAATTTAAGTGAAATTTCATCTCGTTCCTCTCAGAGTCATATATAAAAAAAAAACTCAAGGTTTTTGCGTCATGGTTAATATGCGCTACTTTTTTTATTATACGTTAATTGAGTCTGAAATTTAGGTGCACTTGTAATTGATATTTTGAATAAATTTGATGCATGATTATTAGAATCTTGGGTTTCCTAGTGCTTAGAATAATGTGCACAAAATTACACAAAAAATGAATTAATTTTTAGTTCCCAAACTTTTAATTAGGCAGCATTTTTTCTTGTTTGATGAAATTCAGAGAGCATTTAAAATTTATCCCAAATTATATTTTAAAAATCACCCAATTAGAAATTGTACAAGTTTTAGACCAATAAAAGCACACAATGATGATATTTTAAAAATCACCCAATTAGAAATTGAACAAGTTTGAGACCAATAAAAGCACACAATGATAGAGAATCGCTGCGCGGTAAAATGTTTCAACTTATAAGATATTTGACCAAATCATTTACACACAAAAACCAATCATACATCCTGGAAATGAAAAATAAAAAAGAAAAAGAAGTCACTGAATAGATGATACAATTCTTGTACCGGCATAAGGAAGGCTTTTAAAAGTAGTTGTGAATCCTTACTTGTACTTCACTTGAAGAATCCAATGAACTTGCCAAATTTTGAGAGACTCGAGTTTCATGAAGCAATAGATTGATTTTTTACATGCTTTAGAATTCCTATTTATAAGCACAAAAACACCCAAAATCAGTAATTCAGTTGCCTTAAAAAAATAATCCGAAGATCAGCTAGGTGCCAATAATTAGAAGCTTTTGGTTTTGGTACAAGTAGGTGAACAGTAGATAATGCAAATCAGTCTTCCCTGATTTTAGTTCAATGCTAGAATCATGATCCAGCTGGGAAGACAAGTCACTTTTTTTTCAGCCTTGTCAACAAAGAATGCTTCTATTTAAAGGCATAAATACTACTGACTATAGGCTGAAAGCCTGAAACAACTTGAAACCAGTGGCTGCAAACAGTGACGAACACAACCAAATAAGCTCAGGGATTTAGATAATTCCTTATCCATAGGGATTATCAACATAGCCATGTTTACATAAATACATTAAAATAAAAAATTCTGAAAACAAAGAACTGCTGAAGTAACTTCAAATGAAAAAAAAAATCTAACTCAAAGTGTCAATTTGCAAGTCTCAATGGATTATAGATACTTCATATTGATTTATATGGCTCCCTTATCATTGTACCTTGTGGATATTTCTCTAAACAATTGAAAATTTCCAGTACTATTTTTCGATTTTACTGTCCCAGAACCTTAGTGTAAATTGTACTATTTAGCCCTGCTATTTTCTTTATGGATGGTTCTTGATCTGATTTTTATGAACCAATAACATTTGTTATGTTTGCATCAAATCTGCTGATGGATTTTCTCTTCTGCAGATCCACTGGTTCTCCATCTTCAATTCATTTATGATGGTTATTTTCCTCACTGGCTTGGTTTCTATGATACTTATGAGGACACTTAGAAATGATTACGCAAAATATGCTCGTGAAGATGACGATCTGGAGACTCTGGTAATTATACACAACATTTTAACATTGGAAGATTTACATACATGCTGCTCAATTATTATGTATTTACATAACCTATGCTTCGATTTTTACATATATGAAACCTTCCCTATGCATGAAAAGGTGTATTTCACTTTTGAAAAATTAAAATGGTGGTATTTTTATGAGTTATTAATTTAAAAATTAAAGTTTAGGTGTTGGATATGTAAATAAGAATTTGGTGATATGTATGTAAATGCCCTTTTAACATTTTAATTTGCTCAAGAAAATGCTTTTATAAAATTTATGAGTGTTCTAACTTTTATACCTCTTATCTACATTGTTTTGAATTTAGGGATAATTACATGCAGGCCTCCCGAAACATTGATATTTATAAATTAACCCACTTGATTTTTTTTCACTATCGAACCGATGTATTTACGCGTGCCACAATCAAACTATTGAGAATTTGATAAAATTGAAAATAATGGGTTGGGATTTTTCCATGAATTTTGATATTTGAGCGAGAATTTGAAAAATGGATGAAAGAGGGTGGTTGATTTGTAAATAGCAAGTTTCGGGTGATCTGTATGTAATTTATCATGAATATATTGTTGATATGCAATCAGAAGGCAGTATATGTTAGCAATTTCTTACTCATGCGCCCCTAAATTGATTAGGAGAGAGATGTGAGTGAAGAGTCTGGTTGGAAGCTTGTTCATGGAGATGTATTCCGGCCTCCTCGCAATTTGGTTCTTCTTTCAGCTCTTGTTGGTACGGGTGCTCAGCTGGCGCTGCTTATTCTCCTCGTCATTTTACTGGCTATAGTTGGGATGTTGTATGTTGGGTATGTTGCATATACCTCATGATTCATAATTTTGCATTTAAGACGAAAGACTGACATTGACCAATCCATTATGAGATTACTGATAGTTTTATAGATTGATAGGATCAACATGGATTATCATCTCTCTTTTTATTTGGAAATATAGCATATATTATTTCACTTATGGCCTTGTACACTTTTATATTTTGACCATTTTAAAGAGTTGATTCATTACCAGTTTAGTGCTTTACAAGGCTAATGCTATTGCGCACTTGATTTATTGCAATAACTGAACTTATATCCTTATTTAATATCTTTCATTATCTTAACTTATATGTCTTGTTAATGAGTTTAGTGATGAATTTATTATGAGTTATGTGGTGAGTTTCATGATTTCCTTGATTTGGTATCTGTGTGAGCTTGAAGTAATCTAATTGTACTTGCTTGTGTGAGCATTAAAAGTACTGAATTTAGCAAATATTTTTTTAATGAATTTAATGATGAACTTATTCTAAGGACTAATAAAATTTACTCAGTATTTACTCAAGCTACTACCTAACTGAGTTTTTAGTTGATTTTGGTGTTATTAGAGCTGCCCCATTTCATCATTGGCATTGATATGGACTATTTTGTATTCTCTGATGACATTCTATAAACTCTAACAGTTGTTAATGGCCTCAGGCGAGGAGCTATTCACACAACTTTTATATTGTGCTACGCTTTCACCTCATTTATTTCGGGTTACGTCAACGGTGGTCTTTATTCCCGGAGTGGTGGTATGGACTCCCAATTGAATCAGTGCTATAAATATTAGGAAAATTTACATACATACCACACAATTCTTATATATTTACATATATATCACCTTTGGTTTGATATTTACATTTATAATACCTTGGTATTAAAAACCTTTGCATGCCAAGGTGCATTTCACTTTTAAAAAGTTAGGAACAATGGTAATTTTGATGTGATATTAAAGATTTGAGTGTTATGTATGTAAATATAAAAGTTTAGGAGTTAGATATGTAAATATATAAGAATTGTGTGGTTTGTGTTTAAATGCCCCTAAATGTTAATGATGGGAACTATTCATGTTTTGTATTTTTGTTCTTACAATGAATCCATACTTCAGGTCTATATTTTTCACATTCTAATCCACTTCTATCTGATTACATCATTTATTCTTGTCAGGTAAAAGTTGGATTAAGTCGATGATTCTTACAGCATCTCTTTTCCCATTTTTATGCTTTGGAATTGGTTTTGCACTCAACACCGTTGCCATATTTTATCGCTCACTAGCGGCTATTCCCTTCGGAACAATGGTGGTGATTTTTGTAATTTGGGCCTTTATCTCATTTCCCCTCACACTTCTAGGCACTGTGGTGGGCAGGAACTGGAGTGGTGCCCCTAGCAATCCATGCCGAGTGAAGACCATTCCTCGCCCTATCCCAGAGAAAAAGTGGTATCTCACCCCTTCCATTATCTCTCTAATGGGAGGTCTTCTTCCTTTCGGCAGCATCTTCATTGAGATGTATTTTGTATTCACATCTTTCTGGAATTACAAGGTAAGCAAGTATGTAAGATATTTTTCTGTTTTTGGTTCATTTTGAATCCGCATCAGTTGGTGTGCGATAAAACTTTTACGGAAAAATTTTGGGTCAGGTTATCCTGATAAAATTTTATTTTTGATGGATCTTAAAATCTTTATATTTGGTTTGAGTTGAGTGCAATATATGAGAAAACAATCAAACGGATTTAAGACTCATCCTGATTAAAAATTTGCTCAGCAAATCCGAAGTTTTTTTAATTTTTTCTTTTAATTTGAATCAGGATATCCTGATTAATCTTTGATTAGATGAGTCCTCAATGCCATTGGATTCATTTTGATATGGGGAAAATATTGCACTTCTTCTCAGAATAAATCCAACTGTTTTTGGATTCCTGAGCTAATTTATTTCAAGCTTTTGTTCTTGTAGTCTGCTTATGGCTGATGTTTTGCAAAAATACATGAATATCTCTCTGGCCTTGTGCCTCTATTGGTAGTTTTCTTACGTTCCTATTATTTTATTTATTTATTTATTTTGCAGGTTTACTATGTGTACGGATTCATGTTACTGGTTTTCCTTATTCTTATTATTGTAACAGTCTGTGTTACCATTGTGGGCACATATTTCCTTCTAAATGCGGAGAACTACCATTGGCAATGGACTTCCTTCTTCTCTGCTGCTTCTACTGCCGCGTATGTCTATCTTTACTCCATTTATTACTACTCTGTGAAGACCAAGATGACAGGTTTCTTCCAGACCAGCTTCTATTTTGGCTACACCCTCATGTTCTGTCTGGGAATTGGAATTCTGTGTGGTGCGTTTCTCTTCCACCCTTACATGCTCTTTCCTCAATTAATCTATTAACAATAAATTTGATCAAAATATTTTGGATCAACTTTTTATTATGATAATTCTCAAAGCAGTCGGATTTACTTTGAGATAAACACAATATTTAAGTAATTAATAGCACACCATTTTAAAATGAATATAAAGGTTTTGAGACTCAGGATTTGTTTGAGGCAGCCTTCCCATTGCTTTGCTTGCTACTTTTTGAACAAGATATGCTGAAAAAATAAGAATGAAAAAAAAAAAGTAAGGAAAATTTACATACATATAACTTAATTCCTATGTATTTACATATCTAACACCTAAACTTTGAAATGTGGTGAAATTCAGGCGCCGTGGGTTATCTTGGTTCATCTCTGTTCGTGAGAAGAATTTATAGAAACATCAAATGCGACTAGCTGTAGATGAAGTCGGAGGCATTGATAAGCCTTTTTTTTCCCTGCGGCGCAGAAGATCAAATATTCATTGCTCTCTAAAGCTCCAATTTTTGGAGATTACTTGAGGAGTTTGGTCTCATATTGGTCGAATTTGGAATTTGGAATTTTTAGTTTATATTTGCTGTAAGCTTTTTGTTTTCACTGCTTGTTTAGAACAGAGTAAATGAGTTAATTATTTTTGTATTGCAGACTAACTGTCTGTTTTGATGGGACATGTGGAACCAAAAACAGTTCATCATCTCCAGATTGATATACATGGTTTCTTATTTAGTGGAAATTATCATATTGATTATTTTTTTTTTTTTCACATTTTAAATAAAATTATAAACAATTTTTTTGTGAACAGGCTATCGATTTGGTATATTGAATGTTTGAATGTACTTCCAAGCAATTTCATCTTTCTCCTAGAACAACAATAACAAAGCCTTAATCCCAATGCTTGGGGTCGGCTACATGAATCCTTTTTCTCTATTGCGTCTACTCCACGAAAAAATATTATATCAGTACTACACACGTAGAGTAACGTGCATAGCCAATGAAATCACGTCATGACACCTCGCGCGACAGAAAAACGCGGGAAAAAAAATAAAAACCGGCGCAGTAACACGGAGAATATTCTCTCCCGTGTTATTCATGTGTTATTGTTTGTTATTTATGTATTATTGTGTCCTGAGAATATTTCTGGTGTTATAATAACACAATAACACATCAATAACATATGAATAATACAAAATAACACATTGAATAATGTGAGGGAATATTTCTATGCAATGAAATATTCCTATAACGCATCAGTCGGGTCGGGTTGCACGTTTTTAATGTTTTTTTCATTTTTTATGTAGATGCGCCCTGATTTCCATATGTCAGCTTGAGATTGGACACATCAATAACACATGAATGACACGGGGGAATATTCCTTGTGTTACTGCGTCGTTTTTTTTTCTGTCGCACGGGATGTCATGGCGTGATGTCATTGGCTACAGATGTTACTTCTACGTGCGTAGTACTGATGTAATATTTTTTCCTACTCCACAAAGAATCCAACTTACAAAAAGAATGATATTTTCCCACAAAAATTGTTTCATAATTTAATAAAATTTTAATTTAAAAATAATATAGATCACTGTTAATATAGCCTTTCAACTCACTTCCTTTTTTATTGAAGATTTTTAACTGTGATGGTATTTGTATTTAAGATTATAACTTCATCACAACACATAGGTTTAATAAAGCCATAATATGCTTATGGCTGTCAGCATGAGATATGTAAATATGAGTAGTACGCATGGATGAATGGTAAAGTGGCTCAAATATTCATTAAAGGTAGTGTTCCAATTTTTTCTAAGAAATATCAGGTGTTGAAGGGCAAATTTGAATTATGTGAGATTTGATTCCAATGCCTTGATGATAACCATCACAATTTAATCAGTCATGCTAACTGATTCAATGTTAATCCATATCATCATTATAATACATATTGGTGCATGCCTTTTTAGTTTGTTGTTTGAGAGTTATGATACATAGATATGGATAAGGGGCACGAAAATGGGATATTATGTTTATTATTGAAAAAAATAGAACAAACCCTTGATATGGGAAAAATTTTCTGTTCTGACTCCGGATGTAGCTACGTGCGGACTCCAATAACATGCTGCCACATGTGCTACATCGTGAGATTATTTCAAAGTTATTGAGGTGGAACCGCAAAGATTATTTTTGGTTATTGAAGAGAAACTGATATATTACACTTCAATAATTCTGAAATAACGTAGAAGTAATTCCGAAAAAAATTATGCAGTATTATTTCAAGATTATTAAAGTAGAACCGTAGAGGTTATTTCGTGGTTATTTCAGAGTTATTGAAGTGGATTATATGAGTTTCTCTTCAAAACCTCAAAATAAACTAGAAATAAACCTGAAATAACATCTATGGTGTTATTTCAGGGTTATTGAAGTGTAACCACAGAGATTATTCCGGGGTTATTGTGGAGTCCGCGGTTCCACTTTAATATTTTTGTAGTTGGGCCTGATATAACACTCATGACAGTATATTACTAGGAGTCAACATGTAAAGCTATGTCCGGAGTCCAGACAGAAAATTTTCCCTTGATATGGCATATATATCAGACACATGTTCAAAATTTTGTTTTATTTTCTCTTAAATTGGATATGTGAGGTGTCCAACATATGTCACACTAGTGTCTATGTTTGACAAATGTTGGACACTAAACAACGATTCATGATAAAATTTTTGTACGCCATAAATTAAGAGCAAATTTGTCAACCAAGAAGTTCTAAATTAAAATCTCGCATATATAATATACAGGTATATTTTAGATTAAATTTCCTCAAATTTTTAATGCACACACATCTGTGTGTATAATATACGCCTATTTTAGCCCATTGTAGGGGTGTGTGAGTGGAGAAAAATTTGCGTACGTAAGATGTACGCAGCGCTGCATACGTCAGGAGGTTATACATAGGCTATTGGGGGTTATATCTGCATTATATCTCTGGTATTGGGGGTTATATCTGCGTTATATCTCATGTAACTTTCCTTTTAAACTACCTATAACCTACCTGTAACCTACAATAAGATGAAAACAGAAGCTCAGAACTTATTTGTAGGTTGCATGTAAGTTACATGTAAGTTATAAGGAAGTTACAAGGGGTATAAAGTGGATATAACCCCACAATACCCTCTGAATAACCTCCCTAACGTACGCAACGCTGTGTACGTCTATATATATAAATATAATAAATTCCAAGGCTTTATATTTAAATTATTATCCTTATTATTTAGCTCTTAATTATTATTTCTGGTCATCATTTTATATAATATTAATTTAAATTAATATTATTTTTTCTTTTTTAAACTAAACAAATCAGTGGAGAACACAACTCATTTCTTTGGCGGTTTTCATTATTACGGGTAGTTAAAAAAACCAACTCATAAATTTTAAAAAAAAAATCCCGGTAAAATTGTCCAACACATTGCCGACAAGTGTCCTTCCGGCGAAGCCCTCTCTCCCCACGTCTCGTACGATCCGACACGCGTCACGAGCTCCTTTCCTCTTCTACCCACGTGTCAATTTCCTATTTCTCTTAACTAAAAACCGCACATCTACTGTTCGATCAGATTACTCAACGCCCAACCCAACCTTCCCCCCCCCAACAAGATGATGAATCTCCTCTCCCTTTCTCTTCTCATCTCCTCCCTGGTCGCTGCCTGCTTTCTGTCTCCTCCTTCAAACCCTAATCCCCCAGTCCATGAAGGCCGCCCCATCATTGTGGTGGAGCAAGTGGGCCCATTACCACCCCCATCCTCTTCTCCTCCTCCTCCAGTTTCCGGCAAGCTCTCCGAGAATTTTGAAGACACCGCCTCCGACATGAACTTGTCCTCTCCAATTACAGAAATCGAATGCAGAACGGCTCAATTAGAGGAATCCAACGCGGATGCAGTGAAATCCGCTTCCGCTAAGGTAAGATTTGGTGATATCGTGATATCATCAATTTTACATTTATTTGCATATTTCTTATCTGCACATAATAATTTTTCGTTGGTATGTAAATTTCGGATTTATTAAATCTCACGAACTGATGAATTTATTTTTGCGAGACTTAAGATTTAACTTCAAGAGTTTTAGAGTATCTCCAATGGTCATGACGGCTTCTTAAATCCCGATAGAAATTGTCAGAGTGTTTTTCAGATTTAACACATTCATGATTTAGTAAATATGAATTTAATTGATTTACTAAATCCCAATGTTTTATGTCTTATATGTTGTCAAACAACTAAAAATTATTTTGTCAGAACTCTTAACGTAGAGAATCATTTGAAGTTAAATGAAATAACGTCAAATGACGGTGATAGAAAAAAAAAAAGCACGGGGAATATTTCTCTCTTGTTATTCAAGTGTTATTGTATCTTATTTATGTATTTTTATGTTCTGAAAATATTCTTGATGTTATAATAACACGCCATGTCAATAACACATCATGTCATTTAAATAACACACATTAATACTTGAATAACACAGGAGAAATATTTCTCTGTGTTACTGTGCATATTTTATTTTATTTTTTGTCACTACCACGTAGTGTGATTTTATTGAACTCCAAATAATTCTCTGTGTTAGGAGTTCTGACAGAATAATTTTCCTTCAAACAACACCTACTTACTCCATTTAAATAACACACATTAATACTTGAATAACACAAGAGGAATATTTCTTTGTGTTACTGTTAATATTTTATTTTATTTTTTGTCACTACCACGTAACGTGATTCAAAATTTATTATATTGAATGGGGAATTAGTGAATTTCTACCACATAATTTTATGAATTCATATACCAAAATACTTAATTTTTTATATTTATTGATATAATACTTTACATATTTAAAACATGTCGCATTATATGCATGAAAATATGTATTTCATTATAACTAAAATAAAATTATAGATTTAATTTATGGGTGAAAGTGTTCTGTTTAAATATAAAGATTTAGATATTAATTTTTTTCTATTTAATAACTAAAATTTAATTTTTTATATTTAAATATATATAATTTTAACTTTTGCATAAATTTAGAAGCTGATAAGCTAATTAAATAAATAAATAATATTAAATTTAGATATATTAATTTATATACACTCATTACTGCTGTTAAAAAATTGAACAAAATTATAATTCATTTCAAAGTTCTCTCTTTTGTATTTCTCACTGGTTCTCATCTCATTTAAATCAGGTTAACGGCGTCGGCGAAGACGTCGCCGTCAATACTTCAACGGCGACGAGAAAGCCCTTCAGTCGTGTGGAGGCGACGGCCGCGAAATTGGAAGAAAATATAACGGATATTCTGCGGCGAGCGAGGGATTTAGGACGCGATTTTATGATCCATGTGGCTACGGGAGCGAGGAGAGCGGCGCGGTCGTCGGCCGCGATCGCGCATCTGTTTGGATTTTCAATTGCGTTCGGATCCTGCGTTTGGGTGACATTCGTGTCGAGCCACGTGTTGGCGTCAGCATTGCCGCGGCAGCAGTTTGGGATCGTGCAGAGCAGGATTTATCCGGTTTATTTTGGCGCGGTGTGTGTCAGCGTTTTGGCGGCGGTAGCTGCGTTTTTTATTGAAAGAGGGTGGAAAAGCACGGCGGAGAAAGTGCAGGGGTATAATTTGCTTGGAGTGTTGGGGATGACGATGGTCAATATGTTTTATTTGGAACCCAGAGCAACAAAGGTTCGATCTTGCTGCCATTGAACTCATAAACTGAACGTAAATCTACTGTAACTAGGGATTCTTCTGGAAAAAGCTTCTTTAATAAGAGAGCAAATATTACATCCGAATTCTGAACGTAATTTGCCTCCAGAATCTAATTGTGGGGCGTCACGTGTAAAATTTTTCCATCGTAATATATCGAGATTGATCAGTGTTAAAATTTATGAGGCCCACTTAACAAGTGACACCCACTATTAATCTCTTGATGCATCCGGAGTTCTGACCTAATAATTTTTCTCAATAAGGACTCATTGTCTATGTTCTAAAACATCAAAATTTTACGATTCTTACATTACAATGTCCAAAGATAATCAAATGATAATCCAAAGTATTCTCAAATGGAGCCTGATTTTCAAATTTCAAATTCTTCATTTTAATCCTTTTGAGTTTTTATTTTCTAAATGATTTCATTACTTAGAGTGAGGCGTTTTTTACAGGTAATGTTTGAGAGAATGAAGCTGGAGAAAGAGGAGGGAAGGCGAAGTGATCTAAGAGCTGACGGTGGTGCAGAGCCGGCTGAGGTGGTGGCATCGTCGCTGGCGCCGACGTCGTCAATTGACTTAGAACAGAAGGCAAAGCGGTCTGAAACGACCGCACAAGAGACATTGCATAGCAAGATGCTAAGGGCGAGCAAGACGCTTGGAAGGCTCAATGCCATCTCTTCTTTTCTTAATGTATTGTCTCTTATGGCACTTGGCTGGCACCTTGTTTATTTGGCTCAACGTTTGGGGTCGAGTTGTTCATTTTCTTAATTCTTAATGCGGTAAATTGGATAACTTGTATTGGTGTGAGTATCACGATGGTTTGGATACGGCCACACTATTGTACAATTACAGGGCACATCCCAATATTTGTGTGTTCTTGTTATATTTTAAGTGGTGCCACTTAATTTTTGTTTGAAGTGAATGTACATAACATGTTCATGTGTGAGTATATATTGTTTGGCATTGGGTGCTAGTATTATTTGATTTTGATAAAAAGTAAGTAATTAATGAATTGAAAATTAAATAAATGAGAAATTCAAATACATGCCACACAATTCTTATGTATAATGAGCCGAACACGAGCTAAGCTTCGCTCATGTTCGGCTCGTTTATATTTCGAGCTCAAAAAGTGTGTTCGTGTTAGGCTCGTTTGCTTAGCTAGCCGAATACGAGCCGTTTACGAACAAAGAATCATTTTGACGACTCTAATCACGTAGCAATAAGATGTTAAGGATTGTAGCAAAATTTAAAACATAATTTGAATCTGATTAAACAATTTTTATTCTATTTTCTTCATTAATACTTTTAATTGATTATAAATCTTTGTAGCCTTGCAGTCAATTATTTTTTTTTTAAATACGACTCATCAAAGATATATATATAATTGATTAGTAGTATTTCGAGCCAAAACAAACCGAACAATAACGAATAAATATTGGTTCATGTTGTTCGTGTTCGGCTCGTGCTCGTTAACTTAGCGAACGAGTCGAACACGAGATATTCGCGAACAATAAGCCGTTTTGACAGCCCTAGTATTAACATGTGAAACTCATAAAGTTTGAGATTCAAATTTATAATATCTTAGTGCTATAAATCTATGTAGTTAATCACAATTATATTTGTGATGCAATGTTACTTTTTAGGATATGTATGTAAATATAAAACCTTAAAGTTTTAGATACAATATAAAAGGATTGTGGTATTTATGTGAACATCCGAACTCTTTTCTTCTCAAGAGATCTGTTGAGAAAATTAGGGCGAAGAAAAATAGTAATCGACACAAATCCAGAAGAACACAAAGATTTAACGATGTTCGGCAAAGATGCCTACGTCCTCGGGAGCAGAGTGACCAGTTCCTTTCAATATTCAGAAAAGAGGTTACAAAATTCATGGATACCTCCTGGGGTTACTAACATGCCTATTTATAACCTCAAGAGTAAACCCTAGGCACAATATGTAATTACTACATTATCCCTGTACCATACCGTAGGGCTTTTCCCCCGCACCCCAACCCACGTAACTTCCCAATTTGGACAGATTCTTCCGCTCTGCTCCGCTCCTTTCTGCTCCGCTCCGCTTCGATCCTAAAGTGAAATTAGGTGATTGAAAAGGTCCTTCAAATCTCCTATTGAATTTTTAATACTCTGAAGTTCTCGTTCAATTTTCTTCAATTTCTTTTCCATAGCAAGTGAACTTCTAATTGTTAGTGGCATCAATGGGGTTGAAGCATGTGTTGAGTGATCTAAGATAGTATCTAATGCTTAATTTCCAATCCCAACATAACTATCATAAGTAGGAATCATCAGCTCCCAAGGTAATAAAACATTTTCCCAGCTTTCATATGGAACTTGAGATTGACTGCAAAGTAGGAAAATTGCGGAAGGATGCCCAAGTCCATAAATTGGTCCATTCATAATAATACCCATAAAAAATTTAAATATGATAGATCCTATATCAATGGTTTTTTCCAACATCATCACTTACCCTTGGGAGATAATCATCATTAGCCACCCTTGACTTCCCTGAGCCAAGACATGACCAATGCCTGGCCGGCCGGCCACCTTGGTGGATGGGAAATGGCCAAAAATATGGCCAAGACAAGGGATATTCACCCAATTCAAACCCAAAGGCCAAATCAGTCCAGCTGCTCATTGGAGCTTCTCTGCCCTTCACATAAGCAACCAATTCCATGTCCTACAGTACCCTTCAGATACCTGAAAATCCACTTGACTGCTTCCCAATATCGCCTTCCATGTTTAGTCATATATTTGCAGACTTAACTAACAACATGAGCCAAATCAGGACGAGTACATACCATTGCATACATCAAGCAGCCCAACTACACTGACATATGGAATCTTTGCCATGTCTTTAATTTTTGTATCAGTCTTAGGAAACTGTTCTGAAGAAAGCTTAAAATGATTTGCCAAAGGAGTGCTTACAGGCTTTGCTTTGTTCATCTCAAACTTTTCCAGCACTTTCTCAACATAGCCTCGTTGAGATAAACATAATCGTCTTGAGTCTCTGTCTCGATGAATCTCCATTCAAAGAATTTTCTTCGTAGGACCCAAGTCTTTCATGTCAAATTCCTAGCTTAATAAAGCTTTCAAACCACGAACATCATTCATATTCTTTGTAGCAATTAATATATCATCAACATACAATAACAGAAAAATAATAGAATCATCATCAATGCTCTTCACATAAACACAACAATCATACTCACATCGCCTGTAGCCAATCTGAATCATGTAGGAGTCAAACCGCTTGTACCATTGGAGTCAAATCGCTTGTACCATTGTCTTGGAGACTGTTTCAACCCATACAACGATTTTATTAACCTGCAAATCAGATGCTCCTGTCCAGGTTGATTGAACCCTTCTGGCTGCTCCATATAAATCTGCTCCTCCAAATCACCATGCAAGAAAACAGTTTTAACATCCATCTGCTCCAAATGCAAATCCCAAATAGGTACTAATGCAAGCACTGCCCTGATTGAAGTATGTCTGACCACAGGAGAAAAGATTTCATCATAATATATCCCCTTCTACTGCGAAAATCTCTTTACAACTAGTCGAGTCTTGAACTTTTCCCCTTCTTTTTCTGATACTGCTGGTTTCCTTTTGTACACACATTTGCACCCAATAGCCTTCTTTCCCTCTGGAAGCTGAATTAGCTCCCAAGTGCGGTTTTTCTACAAAGACTCCATCTCTTCAACCATTGCACCCATCTATTTCTCTTTCTCCTGACTAGTGATAGCTCCTTGGAAAGTGGTTGGATCATCGCTGTTGATGAGAAGTGCACAAGAGACCAAGTCTTCATAACCCAATCTGCTAGGAGGCCTTACATTGGAGCGTCTCTGTCAATCTCTGGCTAGATTGTAATTTTGCAGATCATCTGGAATAGAATCACCAGATGTTGGATTTGAACTTTTACCTCTTTAAGAAGCTACTGGCTGCTTTTCTAGATCCATCTATACTGCATCTGAACTGGAACTGTTCCCTAACACCTTGTCTTGATTCTGCTGTAACATAAACTGCTCATCAAAAACTGCATCTCTGCTGATCACCATCTTCTTTGCAATCGGATCCCAAAACTTGTATCCTTTTACACCTTTCTTGTAGCCCAGAAAGATGCACTTCTTGGATTTTGCATCAAGTTTGGATCTTTCATCTCCAGGTACATGCACATAAGCAGGACATCCAAAAAT